CACGTGCAGATTGTGCACATAACTAGTGATAACACTGGTGGTTAATGGAAGGTCTACAGCTGCTTTGTGTGTATTATCATCCCTTACAGTTGTCCACAGAAGTATCTGTCATCTCTCCCGCTTGAGAAGATTTGTAGTTCAGAAATCAGTTGCACATGTTGTTTTGCTTAGGGGAGAAGACATGTTACTTTGGGGAGGGGAACAGACATCCATATTTTGAAGTTTTATTTATTTTTACATACAACAGAGGATTTACTGTCATGATTGATGACAGCTTTGCTGTTGTAACTCTTGTGTCTCTGGACCACCGAAGAACCTTGTTGCTCTAGGCTACTGAGTAACAACAGGGGTTTACCCTAATTTATTCTAGTGTTTTCTCAACAATGACCTATTCTAGAACCAGACTGTCAAAGAACTGGAGGCTCGTGTCCAGCAGTTGACTGTGGAGGTTGAAAACAGTAATTTGCAGCGTCAAAAGTTATCTCAGGAAAAGACTGAGGCAGAACAGCGTTGCCAGACGTTGGGCTCTGAACTCCAGGCATTGAAAGCAAGGTAATGAAATAGCAGTTGCTGTTCTTAACATTGAAGAATATGGAGATTCTGAAAGGAAACATTATTAATTTTATTTCAAGAGCTCAGGGGATGATAATTAGCATTAGAAAGTTGTCATGAAAATGTATTAATTCATGTAAAGCTCATTTTGGAACTGACCCAACCAACCATCCTCAGCAGTGTGTTCTCTTTCCATTATTTATAAGCATTTCAGTCTGTTACAATGAATGTTACAAGTCTGGTACAGGGTCACTTGCATATTTTGTAGACTTGATAGTGAGCAGGTAAGAAGCCAAAATATGAAAGCAATTTCCATATTCTGTTTGCTTACTACTTGTAGGTACAGCTCTCTTCAGAAAGACAAGGACCATGTTAGACAGGAATATGAGGACAACATTCAACAACTGCAAAGTAAATATGATGCAGAAATAAACTTTATAAAGCAGGAACATGCTCACTCTGCAGCTAAGGTATGCTCCCAGGTATAATAGGCATTACAAAGTTGTTTGTTTTTTAAGTGGCCTCCTCAATATAAACGTGATGCTTATGAATAAATCCAAGCAACTGTTCCGTTCCCTAATTTGTACATGTGCATAAGTTTTAAAAAAACCTGTGATTTAATTTTTCATTCCCAAATTTGTCAGAAGAATCATGTAAAATTGACTGATAATTCTGGTATGTATGTGTACATAGAGGAGGTATCTCCATAGCTGATGCAGATAAGGTACAATTAATATGCAGATTTTCTTTGTGCTTATGTGAAAATACCAGAGGGCCTCAGCACTCTGAAAGACTTTGTTTTCACAGAACCTCTTCAATGAGGGAAAATATTTTCCCAGAAATAAATTGTCTTGAGGCTTCTTTAGCATGAAACATTATGCTAAATATTTGTGTTTCATAATTCTTTAAAATTCTGCTGGCATACACTCCACCCAAAGTGTGATAAATCTGGTTTATTTGTGTAAAAACATCCATCAGGTTGATACCTACCAATATGCATAGGTATATATTAATATCATTTTCAAGTTAAAGGTTTGTAGAAATGGCTCATTTGAAATATTCTGCTAATCTTAGAGCAATAGGACAAATGGAGTTCTTCGCATTTATTTATTGGAATTTTGGGAGCTTAGATGATCTGTTTTATTCACAGGGTATTTTTCTTTCAATTTTTAGTGCCAAAGCTTGTTTTATAGGCATTTTATGTGGTTTTCTTTTTCTTAGTTCACCAGATTAACAGAAGTATGAATTACCTGGAGTTGTAAGCTCAGACAGTTGTTTTTTTTTTCCCAAGTTGATATTTTTTTCTGACCTTCTGGCACCTTTGAGATATAAATTTAAAAATGCAAGGGGTGTGTCTGTAGAGCTAATGAGAAATGCAACACAAAGTTTATTTTTCTGTTAAATCCCTACAGGCATCTGACAGGATTACAGAGTTGCAGAGCAGTGTGTCTCTCTTAAAACAGCAGCTTCAAGATGCAGAAGATAAAAGGCAAAAACAGCTGAGAGTGAGTCCTGAATTTTTTACTCAGGAATGACCAGCCATTTTGACTTTTTTCAGTGGTTTGGGTATTTAGATATCCATCCTAAAATGCACTTACATGGAACATTCATCTTTGTATTTTATTCAGAAAAATATATAAAATGTCACCTTGATTGATTTAAAAAGTATGACTAAAAAAGATCACTTTATTATGGGTAAGAGCAGGGTTTTCCCAGGAACCAGCTGTTGTTATTCACATGTTAAAACAGTGGATCATACAGGAGCATGTAAAAGAACTAAGAGTAACTTTTTTTCCCCTAAACAATTTTAAAGTATTGTTTTTATTTTAGTTGCTATGTAAGAGGCCAGTGCAATGTTTTGGCTTCCCACAGGCACTGAAATTGATCCTCTTTCTCAGGATAGTGAGTTCCACTTCTGCATCATACAGCAATCCTGGCTGAGTTTTGCCATCTACTTTTCCTCCTATGCTTTTATTTCACTGTTGATGCAGCACAGAAGGGCATTTTAATAACTCTGGAGAACAATTTCTGTTTCTCTCTAGAAGGCATGAATCATGACTTTCAAGATGGTTGTGTTATGTGTGGGTATTTATGCTGATGGTTGAATTTTTTTATATGTCAAAGAACTTTTAAAATAATGACAAAGTGGATTTTTATTTTTTATGGACTGTTCTATATAATAACAAATACATGTGTATTTAATGACTGCTTTGAAATGATAGAAAACTGTGATTTGTTTATGTAGAACACAAATCTCTTCCTTTGCAGGACCAAGAATACAAGTTTCAAGAGGAAAAACATAACCTGGAACGTGCATCTGAAAAGCAGGTAATGTTTTCAGGAAAATACACCATCTGGTACACACTTCCAGTCTTGTTGTGTACAGAAGCTGAAAGATTAAATTCTGAAATCCCTGAAGTGGTACATTTTGGAATGCGAGCGTTTGACATGGGTTGGAAAAATAACTAGGCAAATTCAAGGAAGATTTTCAGTACAGCTATTTAAGTACAGAATCACTGCTTCTGAGTTGAGGTACCTATTGCCAAAGAGTTTTACCAATTGTAAATATCTCCAGTTTTATATGCTTCTTTTGTTGGCATCTGTTGTGAACTGCTGTTAGAGAAAAGAGAATGGACTAAATTGAGCTTAGCCTGACCTGTTGTCAGTATTTCTATGTTCCTCAATACTTTTTCTCAGTATGTCTTTATTCCATACTTTCCCTTGATTTCAATGTGCTCTCTATATATTGTCAATATATATTGTGCTTACATCAGAAACTTAAAATAAAAAATGTAATTCTCATTAAAACCATTCCATCTTAAAGCACTTTGAAAATACTGTCTACGGTTTTAAACTCTAAACATCAATAGGTTTCTAATTAACCTTCACTTTTAGTGGTGTTATATGTTCAACTCATGCAGTGTTTAATTAAGAGGGTCAGTTGAATTCCTGTCTAATTGAAAAGATATTGTTCAGTCATGTGATTTTCAAATTTGGAAATTTAGAAAATGTCATCATAGCAACTTGTCACTTGGTAATACCATTTGCAGCATGAGTTGTAGGGAGTTTTTGTTTGAGTTAGTGCCTTCCATTGACTTGGATTCAAATGCTTTTTTATCCAAGATATGGTTTGGTTAATCCTTGCCCATGTTTGTCTTTTTTGACAAATCATGGGTTTTATAAACATTGGCCTGAAGCAAAGCCTAGGATTGGAATAGTATTTCAGGTCAAATACCCAAATTGTGCCAATATATTTCTATCTCCTAGCTACTGAAGTATAGTGGCCATTGGTTTATTGCAAAGCCTCACTTCCTCTGCAGATAAGTGCAAATGAAGTGTGGCTGGTCATGTTCCCAGGCACCAAGTCAAAATGCCATCAAATGGCTCACAGCTACACCATTAAACTTTATGATTCTGGCTGATAAGGTGGAAGCATCCATATCAGCTTCCTGCTGTGGCCTGTGTGAACCCAAGGGAGGTTTGAGGGTCACCTGGGAGAATGCTCCTGAGTGGGGGCTGAGAGCACAACCACCAGCCCTCAGCAAAGACTGAAGGTGTAACGTGTCAAGGGAGAAGGGAGCAGATCCTTTGTTTTTAATAGATAACTTGACAGCAGTTTGCTTATTCATAAATAAGAATATGACTGTGGTTTTGAAGTATAGTCTTTGAGAAGGAGGAGGAAATAATACATGTAAACAATCTATGAATATAAATCCATAAAGCAGTATAGATTGGCCCATAAAAGACTAAATCAAGCTCACCTTCAAGGAAAGGAATCATGAAGTCTCTGGTGCAATCTGTTCGCTTAAGAACATACCCATTATCTAATAATCTTTATTAGTCTACAGTGGCTGTTGCCTGCTAGGATATTTAAACATCAAACAAATAAAAGGTAGTAACCCTAAATGTCACTGTTTGATTAAATGTGCTTATCTACTGAATCAGGAACCAGTTAGGTTAAATGGTTTTACAAGCAAAGGAAACACCTGCTTTTTATAAATAATCTACTGCTTGTTTCCCAAACATTCAGCTAAGCATAGGAACAGTGACAGATTATTCCTGAGAGCCATTCTTGAGCCAGCTGGGAAATATATAGGATTTGACCAGGCTTGGCAATACTTTCTTTGCACTCCAATAGACAACCTGTGTGTTTGGAGGCTCTTTCCAAGAAACAAAGTATTCAGGCTTCTGTGTAGTAAACACCTACATGAAACTGTTTATGATAGAGCCTGAGAATTTGTTTTTTCATGGGATTATCCTCTTACACTTCTTACTATACACTTACTAGAACATGTTTTTCTTTTTTGTAGCAACTTAGAGTGTAATGTTGCAAATGCTTGTAGGTTAATAAGGGATTCCCTGTGCTGCCCATGAGATAAAGAAAAACATGGTTAGTAGGTCCCATCACCACATTGTTACTGGAACAAGCCTAAAAGCAAACCAAACTCCTGGACAGAATCTGCCTTGGGCTAAAAAGGGTATGAAAACCCATGGTTTGCTCCATGCCTGGGGGCTGCTAAATTCTGAAGCTGCTTTTCCTCTCCTAATCCCAAACTACCAGAGAAATGAGCTCTTTGTATTCATTTTTGAGAAGAAAAATAACCCCACTAGCTATATGATCATACTTCATCTCTCTGATAATCCTTATTCTTGCATTTTATGTAATTTTAGAGATGGTTGTTTATATCAGTGCAAAAGAAATATGCAAAATAAATAATTTCTATACTTTAAAATAATTGTTTTTATCAGACTTATTTTTTTATTTAGCTAAAATATGGTATTTTTTTTTACCTCCAAATGGTAGATTCATGACCTCAGAAGTGGTGTTGAGAAGGAAAGAGAGGATGCTCAAAAGAAAATTCGTAGGCTGGGAGAGTCTTTGAAGTAAGTGAATATGGAATAATCCTTGAACCATCTCCAGATTTTTAGTTATATTTATTCAATAACTTACACTTTGTCTCATCTGACTGCCTTCCTGTGAATCACAGAATGGTTGAGGTTGGAAGGGACTTCTGAAGATCCTTGAGTCCAACCCCCATGCCAGTGCAGGACCACCACAGAATCTAGGGCAAGTCACTCAGAAATGCATCCAGACTGGTCTTGAAAGTCTCCAGAGAAGGAGACTCCACAACCTCTCTGGGCAGCCTGTCCTGGTGCTCTGTCACCCACACAGTAAAGAAGTTTCTCCTCATGTTGAGGTGGAATTTCCTATGTTCTAGCTTATACCCATTAGTCCTTGTCCTATTACCGGTCACCACCAAGAGACTGGCCCCTTCCTCTACACACCCACCCCTCAAATATTTATAGACATTAGTAAGATCCCCTCTCTGTAGTTTAACTGGATCATCTTCCCATTGTAAAACTGCACCTTATAGTCAGGCATAAAAATGAAAAAAGAAAATCATGAAGTAAAACCACCCACATTTCTTGACTTTAAAGGGGCAGGAATAACACAGAATGGAACTTAGTGATTTTTGGCTGGTCTGTGGTTGTTTTATGGCAATGATTTGGGGTTCCTTTTAAGATTAGTAATTGAATTAATAATGGTAATAAGTAATCATTTTGTAATTGAATAGAAATAAGAAATAGCTTTCAGCCTTGTTTTTGTTTGGATGGAGACAAAAGTTGGCAGATTTGTTAGGGTGGATTTGTGCTCTGAAAGGACACAATTTCCTACCAATGTTTCTGGACAATATGAAAATTTTTACATGTTTGTGTTTATGACACATACAATACATCTCTATGTGTACATATATGGTACATAAATAATACATCACAAGCAGTAATGTTTTGTCTCAGAAATGATGGCTTCTTTATGGCTTTTTTCCCCACTGCTGCAAAAATTAGCCATTTTAACAAACTTTTGCTATTAATATGAATCTGTAAGATCTAATACCTTACCTGACAATGCTTTATTTTGCTGGATTTGTTTGTGTGTGGAATCAAATTAAGTAATTCCAAGCCCAGGCAGACTCCGTAAACCTTTAGAAAACAGCCTTCTGGAGGTGGGTGAAAATTCAGTTCACCATCTTCAGTGGAAATGATGCCCTGTGGAATTGCAGCTCAGCACCTGGCAGGTGCAGCAGTGATTTCTCATCAGCTACTTTGATCTGAATGCACTTTGATTCTGCAGTGGCCACAGGATTATGCCTTGAGTTGCTAGTCAGTGCAAAGGCATGGAAAGGGAAGTGACAGGCATTTTACTGGGCTTTTTTGATATGATTTTTCCAGTGGTGTGACAGCAAACAGAGCTATTGCAGTTTCAGACATTCCCACATAGGTGTGTAATGACAGTGATTGAGACATCGTGTGGAAGAGTAAAATCCACATTTCTGCAAGTTTCTTTCACTTCAAATAAATAGTGTAGCCAGAGTTTTAATAGGAGTTTATATAACTTATAGAAGAGTTTTTTTCTTCTGAAGGTTATGGTAGAAATCTCTTGTCAAAACCAAATCCTTTGCAAAAGAATTGCTCTAAACTTATGACTACTAGTGGTGACTTGTAGATATGAATTTTATATCTAGTTTAGCAATGCATATTATAGGCCTTCTCTAATAGCTAGCGACTATAGGAAGTGTTCCAAGGATTTTTCTAGAATGTCATTTAAAATGCATTTATGTAATAAAGCATCCTTAAAACGCTTCTGTGTAATTACTTGGGGGGAAAGGTTGTTTCTCTAATCCCTTTAGTTTGGTTGGATAAAATATGTCATGAAGAGTGGGCTACAAATAGGCTAAATCTCTGCATTTCTTATCTCTTTTATTTTAAGTACAGGAATAGGAAATCAAGAGTTACACTTATATTCTGATTTGTCACGCTACAGGCAGCGTTGAATGCAGCAGAAAAAAATAAGAATAAAAATCTCTGTCCATTTGTTACTGAAGAATTTACATGGAAGAGAAAGACAAGGTCTGGCTGCCTTTATCCATGACTGTTAGCCAGAGTCGTGCTCAACATGATCTGCTCTGTGAAATCTGGAAACCTATTTACTAAAAATATTTATTTTCCCTCTTTAAGTATATGAACATACATTTAGTTAATATTTTTAATTTGCTAGTATTTCTCATTTTATTAAAGAATTGAAATATAGAAGCTCAGAGATGTGGCAATGTAGGGAACTGGGAACAAGCATGGCTTTGGGACTTAAAAATGAGGTTGGAACATGTGAGTTAAAGCCTCTTTGATTTTACTCTTGTTTCTGATTCAGTGATCATTCTTGAAGCAGCTTGAGTTGTCTGATCTGCTCTAGCGGTATTCAGGAGTGTTGCAGGTGGAGGATTTGTGCACTTTCCTAAAGATCTCCTTTCCACAATAAATAGTTGTGTTTAAAAATGTTCCCCTTGGTTTGGACCAGTTCTGCACATTCTCTGGCTGTGAAGACTCTTGCTGTGTCTATAAGTAGCAGTTTTAAGTAAGAATCTGTCCCAATTACTGACCAAAAGCTCTCAAGCTGGATCTAACTTGTTTTCAGAAGAAGATGTGAGTGTTCAGAGCTGTTAGTGCTTTCATTAGTTTGATGTGTCTGTCACAAATATTACATTTCTTTTCACCAGGAGGTTTACTAAATAATGAGCTCTGTTGATATCAGCCCTCAAACAACAAGTCAACCTTCTAGCCCTCTTGCTGCAGAATTGTTTGAAGACTTGTAGAGTTTCTTGTGGTCCTCAAATAGCAGGGTAAACTACAGGCAGCAGCCTCTAGGCATTGCTAGAATTTCAGAAATAATTATAAGACTAATTTAATGAAGTACCAGCCAGAGTGCCTGTTCAGTAAGGACCTTGGAGATGATAAGTATATATTACTTTCACAATTTAAATATTTAGACTTTAATGTTAACAGGGTGGTCACAGCAATGACCCTGAAGGCCTCCCCTGAGGTATCACAGCCCCGTGCCAGGCGTTCCTGGCAGTCAGCAGAAGTGCATGTGCTTTAAGGCTGGCTTCGTTTATTTGCTGATAAACAGAGAGATTTAGAACATTGTTGCTTAAGACCAGAGGTAAAAACCTATTTTATGATCCAAAGAAAGAGCAGAATGGCCATGTGCATTATTAGTGTTTATATACTCCATCAGTGCACGATGTAGAACTGCCAGCTTGAGCTACATCAAGGAGAATATCAGGTGTACAGGAGGAAACGTTTGTTTTACAACACTTAGTTTGAAGTCTGTTTATATGTTGTTAATGATAATATATAAAAAAACCTAAAGATGAAACAGTAAAGAAGTTACAGGGTTTTTTGAAGTGTGACTACAGCACTTCTAATGTGGTTTGGTTTTGCCACTTCCATTCTGGGGTCCATAATAACTTTATGACTGCAGAGACGTATAAAGTTTGTCCATCTTAAGGTAGAGTTTTTGGACTAAATTGTAAACACACAAGTTGAGACTCTTATCTGTCACCTGCAGGGAAGTGCAGACCACCTTGCTGCTGCTGGTTTCTCCGGGTAATGGTTGTGATGGTTCTCACATACCGGAAATCATTATGGGATCTGATCGAACGCTTCTTTGGTTTGTGACTCAAGCACAAATTAATACTTCCTTATGCTACTGAACTACAGCTTTTCTGAGTTCTTAATCTTCTGCTCTGTGGTGTGGCTGAAGAGAACCAATTTTAAAAAGTCATATTAGGACAAATGAACTGAACTGTTGCCCTTACAGGTGCAGACCTTGTCACTGAACACTGCTGTGTCCAGGGCTGCTCACACCAGCACTGGGAAATGCTTCAGGACTCTCTGCCTTGCTATCTTGCCTTTTTCTTTTTTCTTCTATTTTTTTTTTTTTTTCTAAAACCTGCCTTTGGAGCCAAATCTCAGCACTTTGCAAGTGGTGATGATACAGAGCAAATGTTTAGCAGCTGGTTTATTGAAAGTCACTTAATAAAGTTGTTTGTTTATATAAGAAACTAACAACACCTCTTTCCTTCATTGCTTCTCTACCCTTCATCTGAACTTGCTTCAAACTCTTCTGGGGAAGAAAAAGGGACTAAACTTTCCAGAAACCAGCAAAGCTGCTCCTGTCTCTTTGCAGATTTGTATTTTTAGAGGAGTTTCAAAAGCACACACATGATTTTCACAGTATTTTGTGATTTGGTTTAGATGGCAGACCAAAACATTTCAAAGCCTTTTAAATCAAGGGCATGGTGTGAAGGTGGTGCATGTAGATGTTAAATAAAATACACAATAAAAGGAATTTGCCTGTCTTTTCCCATGTGTACCTGTGAACATGCACACATTTTCTCTGGGAATCCTTGACGTGAGAAGCAGGGGAAGTTGATTTCTCTTTGGAGATGATGCAATGGAGTTCCCTCACTGTAGACTTAAAAAGTCTTTTTCATTGCAGTTGGTTATTCCCGATATGAAGCTGTGTCAGTCCTTTATGCCTCCACTGGACTTTACTAGTTTTAGGGACTTTGTCAAGTGCAGCTCGGTGATACTAATACAGATTTTAAATTTCAGATTTTGTGTGTAGTGCAGGTATTACTACTACAAGGTTTTGTTTCAAATAAAGTATCTGATAAAAATACGTTTGCACTTCCATTTACTAAAGCAAGTTGGAAAAAAGCTGTTTTGGGAAAGAAGTGAATTTTTTTCATAGCAATTTCTCTTCTTGAAGTCTTATTCATTTGTTTATTCCAAGAGCTTCTACTTGTCATCTCCCAGCATGGTTTGCCAGTCGTTCGGTTATTCCCTTCTGAATCATTTGTTCCCTACCTGACATTGCCACAAGGTACATGGAGCAGTGGAGCTGGAGCTCTTCTCTGGCTCGTCCTGAGGTTTTTCACTTGGTGGTGATACTTGTAAAGCCTTAGGAGAGAGGCTTCTAGATCACTGTTACTCAGAAACAGAAGCTGATGTCAGTACATCTTGCAAGAAGAAATCTAATAATA